GTTGGTCAGACTATCTTGTTCTGTTTCTTTTTCATTTTCTGGGTCTCCATCCTTTTGATTGCTTGATAAACACTTTTTTACCCCTTGGAATAAATCTTTATCTATACTATAATTTAGTTTCTTCAATTTATTTTTATGAGCTGTTGATTTACGTCTGCCAGAACATGTTTTACTTTTTCTATTTTTTTATGCACGGCTACGTTTTGATTTTGGCAAGATTATATCCTCTTGATTCTCAGGCACACTATTGTCTATCAAAACATCGTAATGTCCAGCATCCACATTTCCTGAAAATCGTAGTTTATAGATCGTTGTGCCTTCACCAGCCGTTACAAAATAATCCAATTTCTCAGCATAGCCTATATTTTGAATTGGCAGTCAAAAACTCTTGCTGCAGCTTCGATTTCGACATTACCGGCGTATTCCCCATCTTTGGTCATCAAATTTCTGTATTGCGTCGCGTTTTTTACTTCTAGTCTATATCTCTTATCCCCTACGATCAAAGGACAATAGTAGTCCCAGTTATTGACGACTTCATCAACTACCGTGGATCGTATATCACTGTATCTGGATTGAGATTTGTGGCATAAAAATGAGACACTTCTAAAGAAACAGTTTCCATCACCAACCATGTAGTGAAGAGTAAAGTTATTCATTTTTCAACTAATGTAAAATATTGAGTTTATAATTAACAGTTCAATATAACGAATATTAAATACTATTTTAAACTGTGAATTATAAATTAAATTTGAATAATTTATAATTGACAGTTTAAAATAATAATTTTTGGTTATAAAATCCATACATCACTTAACTTACCAATACTTATTAATGGTACAGATTAAAAACATCACTTTAGAAACACACTTTACGGACCTCAACCACCAATTCAAATAGTAAACAACTAAATGTAAACAAAGAAAAATCAAGGAAATAACAATAAAACAATCAGCTGTTAAACTATAGTTTAATACATGTGTTCCATATGATCAGATGATGCATACTGGCTAACCCATTATTACTACCATAAATTTTTTAGATTATTCATACCGGCAAACGCATTACTACCATAAATAAATAAAACTCAAACTTTACTAATTATTTGGAAATCTACACAGATTTTATTGACCTATTAATTAATAAAATCGGTCCAGTAGAACTGTAGATTTAGTTGTAGAAAGTTAACAAAAATCTCTCCTATTCAATATTTTCTCACCACAATAAATTAGGAGGTTGCTAAGTTTTTTTGCAAATAACTCTTAAACGGTGAGGAAATCGACCAAAGTGGAAGGTGATATTCTGAAAGAGAATAAAATTTGCTACGAAGTACTCTTAGACGTTTTTTGAAAATATTCAAAAAAGGCAACCTAATGTTAACTATAAATTGAAACTTTAAAATATTAACTATAAAAAAAAACAGTTTTTAATGTATTTTTGCTTTTTATTCTTTATTCACCACAAATATTTAATAAAATCAAACTTTCATAATTATTTGCAAATCTACACAAATTAGGCTTTCCAACGATACATTAGTGAACAAAATCGGTTCAGTAGAAGTCTAGATTTAGTTGTACAAAGTTTAACAAAAATATCCCTAATTCAGTATTTTTAACAACTAAAAATTTGGAGGTCACTTATCTAATTTGACAATAACTTTTAAATGGCGAGTAAATCGTAGAAAATGAACGTGATATTCTAAAAGAAGATAAAATTTCCTACAAATAACTTCTGTGTATTTCTTGAAATTATTTAATAAAGGCAGCCAAAAGCTGACTACAAATATAAACTTGAAAATAAAAACCTGAAAAAACAGTTTTTAATGTATTTTTGTTATTTTTATTTTTCCTCCACGAATATTAAATAAAATCAAACTTTCATAATTATTTGCAAATCTACATGAGTAAGGCTTTCCAATGACTCATTAATTAACAAAATCGGTCCGGTAGAAGTCTAGATTTAGTTGTACAAAGTTTAACAAAAATATCCCAAACTCAATATTTTCTCATTATTATAAATTCGGAGGTTGCTTAGCTTTTTTGCAAATAACTTTTAAATGGTGAGGAAATCGACCAAAGTGGAAGGTGATATTCTGAAAGAGAATAAAATTTCCTACAAATTGATACCATACACTTCTTGGAAACACTAAAAAAAGGCAGCTAAAAGTCGCACCCAAATAAAAAGGGTGAAAAACACCGTTTTCAATGTATTTCTTATGGAAAACATGTTTTTTTGAAATTTTTCACCATAAATCATAATAAAAACAAACTTTCATAATTATTTGCAAATCTACACGACCTAAGCTTTCCATCGACCCATTAATTAATAAAATCGGTCCAGTAGAACTCTAGATTTAGTTGTACAAAGATTTTTAAAACTGAATTATATATAGAATAGATTAATTTCAACAACATATTCCAAATTCTCATGAGAACTGTGTTATTATTTATATCTCTAGTTAATTTAAATGTTGTTTAGCTATGAAATATTTGTCACTGTAAACTTTAGTTGTAAAAATATTGAGTTGGAAGTGATTTTTATGTCTCAGTAATGATTGCAATAGGGAACACAGTTCAAGAAAATTACTTCTTTCATCTGATGCTGGGTAAAATATGTAAAATATGTAAATATGTAAAATACTAAACTCTTGAAAGTCTCAAAGGTAAATAATGCTACACCAAATAATATGAAGTTATATGCGTTATTCTGAACTATAACCAATTCATGTATAAACCTCTGAATTATTCTGGACTTACCATTTGTGTTAACGGACTTTTGAAAGATTTAACATAATTTACTATTTTAAAGTGTGTTAGTCTTCAATACTAGAGTGTGTGGGTTTTGCACAGGGAAAGTCTCGGGACTTGATTTTGGTTACCTATCGCCCTTTGGATGTGGACTGTGGTATCTTGGACCTGCTCTGGCATTATTCCATTTTGTGGCTAGAGGACCTCGACTTCAACTAACACGACCTGTGACATTGACAGACTCACCTGTGTCCGTGCAGTCAACCTGTGTTCAACCTAACTTCGACCATACCAACGCTCTCAAACAACAGATAGGACAATTATTATAATATTACATTAGTTTACTATTTTGGTGTTTATTATGAGATATTTGGACACTTTCAGGATCTATTTTGTTTAGATATAAGTATTTGTTTCAGGGTTATATATACATATATATATATATTTATATATTTATTATATATTTATTACTGTTATATATTATATATTTATATATATATTTATTACTTTACATATATATATTATATATTTAAATATTTATTTATATGTATTTATATGTATTTATTATATGTATTTATTATTTATATATATGGTTATATATTTATTACTGTGTATTATATGTCTTTTGTGCTCAATAATTCATATTAGTGTCGGCCGACAATTTCTAATTAATTTTGGTAGTTATACAAATGGAAGTTAAAGGTAAAAATGTTTTGCAACTGATCAGTAAATGTTTTCTTGGGTAATCAAATCTTTGGTATTCATTCATATTGCCTAATAGCCTTATTTTAGAAGTGATAGTGTTTAAAGTCAAAAATATCAGTTTTGTTTGATTGAATATTTAGCTGGTAGATAAAAAGAAAAGATAATAATATCTGCTTTCATTGATAATAGTTAAATTTCGATAGAAATATTATTTAAGACTTGTATGTTTGGTCAATTTAATTATTTTTAATAGTAAGCCTCTGCAATTCCCTTTTTAGTAACTTATTTTCAAAATTAATCACATCATCCTTTACCTTTGGAATATTTCCTAGTTTAGTTCCTAGGAAGGTTAAAACTAGGTGGCACCCTTTTCATGAAGAATTTTGATTTATTAAGGATAAACACTCTCTTCATTTACATCGACCCACCCCAGACTGAGCGACCTAAGGCCAGAGTGTAACACTATTTATTTAAGAATGCAATTTGTTGATAGAGTAAGCTAACAGTGATTTTGTGTCAGTCTTTAAAATAAATTACTAAATTGACATTTGAGAAAACTAGATTGTATAAAAACCCAAGTGCTGTGATTAAGTAGAAAACAGATTTCAATTTAAGTAATAAACAGGGGGTCCCGTAAGTAAGTACAATGAATTCTGGCATAGATTTATAGATTTATTGGATTTATTAGGTAAAAATAAAACTAAAATTATTATTCGAAAAACAAATCATTAGCGAGATATCCGCCATTTTGTTTTTATGTTTTAAATGTATTTCTCAAAAACGATTAAATATCACTGAATAATGTGTTAATAGTAATATTGAGACGAAAATTAAGATGTAAGCCTAGGCGTGTGTGTTAATACTTTTTATGCGAGTTGCGTGTACTACTTAACATAGTCATAGACAGTGTTTTTATTAGAAATAATCACAAATCATAACTTCTAAGATAGGTTATGTTATCGTTTATAACCTCTCATTGCCACTGATAGTGTTGCAACGAATCATTGTACCAAACACTAATTGCACCACTCAACAATTAAATTGGCCGAAAACATTAGTTGAAGTTTGAAGCATTACAATTTTACTTCTTTTCTCTCAATCATTGGACCTCATTGTTTCGTAATTGTCTTTGACTTCTGAGTGGATCAATGAGAGCATAATTAACGTGTTCAAAACTGCCAACGTATGAGGTCTTCTGGAGATCAAAAACCATTTAGTGATAGTGGTAGAGTGGTAGTTAGCGACCAGCCTAGGGCAGTCAATTTGGCGGCAAATATCGTCTATCACGCGGCTTGGCGCGCCTCCACCACATAGAGTATAATAGTTGGGTCTTGAATACATTTAACAGTGGTTTATGTTGAAATTAACTAAAGTAAACGGGTTGTATAAAGTGTAGAGATAGTTTCCACTACCCACCTATTTAGATTCTAAACCCATTAAATTATGGTTTAAAAGTAGGTACAAATTATAATGAGTAAAAATTTAACACCTAAAAAACTTAAACGCGTAGGAAAATTAGGCAAACATCATGAAAATGAAAAACACAGGTGGTTTTGATATCACAAATTGTAATAAAATTACAATACATTTACAATCATGTATACAGTACAATACATATATGTGAGTACCATTTTAATTACTCAGGATAAGATAAAAATATATTACCTTTCTTATCTCAGTATTATTTTATTACAGTACAATACATATTACTAAGAATTATTGTGCTTCTTCTTATCTCACTAGAGTTATAACTAAATGAATATATCAAACTAACTGGGCTCATACTTTCAATATAATATATGTATATAAAAAACTAAATTCGTCGAGTTGCTTACTAAAGTAATGTTAAACAATATGATTTGTTGCTATAAAAGCATTACAATTTACTGAAGATTTTAAATTTTACTGTATTTTATTCATCACATTGGTTGAAACGGAACAATGGTTAATATTTTACATTCAACGATGGTTTATTTATTCAAATAATGCTGTTGCTAATGTACTTATCAGATAGTTTCTTTTACATTCTGGCTGCCCTGCTTGAGTATTTTTTTACACATAACATTTTAATTTCTTAAAAATATACTTGCGATATGGTGACTAAATAAAATCGTTTAATTGTTATTTCTAAAGTATACATAAAGTGCAATAAATAATTGGTTAATTCTATATTATTATTTTACTTTTACAGGTACTTAGAAAATATGATAAGCTAATAATATCTTGATTGAGTATGATAGTTTTTAATTGCCTCTAAACATTTTATAATAGTTATAGTAAAAACTGCATTGGATTACCTATGGTTCTGATAGAGGGAAGTCTAATTTTGTTATTGTTTTTTTTGTGTGATATTGCATAATTACTATAATTAGTTTACAAACTGTTATTGTACGAATGATTGTTTTTGTTAGCAGTATGAAAATCTATCAAAGTAAATAAAAACTCTAAATAATCATTGCATCCGGTAAAAATAAAAAATGTAAAAACATACGTGATAAAACTTAACTTTTGAAATGGGAAATGAAATAAAATGCTCAAAAGGCAATCAGTCTAACATTAGTGGCCAGGACAGGGCCCCACGTTGCAGGGCTTCTGGCGGATTCGGTCGTTACAGTTGTTGCCTTCTAGCACTAGACGAGTGCGCTGCCTCATTGCACTGTAGCCACACGTCGCTGTGCATTCTGTCCACTCTGACCACTCAGAATACCTACACTCTGTAACAGGGTGTTGATTAGTTGGGTTACTGAAATGCAAATATGTTTATCTTCCATATTACTAATATTGCAAACACTGCACGCAACTATAAACAGTAGCCTACTCGACTGGGATTGTGAGCTCTTCGGGTAGACCACCGTATATGTTGTCACAAACAACCGAATGAAAATATCGATCCATAGATCGATTATTCGATATATTGTTTTATTAGTTAGATGAGGTTAACCTAACCTAACTAACTAAACTATATATCGAATGAAACAACCGAATAATCGAATAATCTGGAAGACGTTCAGGAGTAGAACATGTTTTATGCTCGTTTCGTAAGCGATCTAAATAGGTGTCATATTGAAATAATGCAAACAACACGTTTTATTTTTTTTCTGTTAAGTATTTTAAATTTAACAACAAAAGTTGTATAAATTATTTTTTTTTTGTCGGTCTAATGTAAATTGACCCTTACTTTCATGTCTCCTTCTAACTTCAGTGCTTCTTTCTTGGTCTTCCTCCTCCTCTTCTTCTGAAACAATAATAATTGTTAAAGATTAATTTTTAAACTCTCTCACCCAGAAAATATTTGATCGTAGTACTTTTGCCGCTCCTTCCATGTGAATACACATGTAGCTCTGAAAGAAAGCTGCGTACTGAATTAATTCTAAAATGTTGACTGTATCGACTGTTTTCCTTTGTCAGAAAATGTTAAAGTTTGATTGTTCATTTAAGGGGTATATTAATCTTTGAGGGGAGTAATATACTCTAGGGCAGTAAAGTATCTTAATTCTCTGTGATTTGACTTGCAATTCCGAAATAACTACTTAAACTTTATAGCATTGTCATTGATACGGGAAAACATGTACATAAAAACATGTCCCTATAAAGAAATATGAGTATCTTCCAAAACTAAATAAAATTAAATCTTTTCAGGGAGAGAAATTTTATTGAATCTTGTTAAAGTATACTGAAAAAATATAATATCTAATTTCACTATGCAAAAATATGCAGTCAAACTAACTCGGTTAGTGTTACTAACTTTTAATATAATATAATTAACTTTTATTTTAATATATTAAATTTTATTTCTTTAATTACCATGAGGAAGAATTAATTTTAAATTAGGATAAAATTAGTGCTAGCTGATAAAAACACACAAGTCAGTGCAAGCATATTTACCGTCGTGTCTGCATTTTCTTGAACATTTGCGTTGTTTTCTGGTCTTCCCAGTGCATGCCTTTCCTCCATTTTTAGCATGGACCTAATAAACCACACAGACAATGTTATGAAAAACTCGTACATATTAATAAGTATCTTGTGAGCAATCGTAGTAATCTATTGAACAATTTCGTTAATCTATAAAATCGCCTCATGTAAAACTTCACTACTTAAAAAGAATTTTTTTTAAATAAACTTCTTAATAAATGGTTGATTAATAATTGCCTACAAAAAAATATTAACGGTGAAATACTTCAATACTTGTTTTTTGTGTGTTTTTTTAGTGAAACAAAACACAATTGAATAGTGCTTTAGTTTTACAAAAAAACTTAACATAGACTAGTAAGTTGTTCATATATTTTTTTACCATAATAAACACGCTGGTAAAGATCAAATTTTTACTTTTGCTCATAGATTTTGAAGAATTGTTGTCCACCGTTTTACCATAGTATATAAATATTATTTATCATCATTTATTTTAATAACAGTGAGGACACGTAAGAGCGCTTTTAGTATAAATGGCAGTATTGATGTATGAGTGATATACCTTAATTACCTTAATTACCTCTTCCTTGACCGAGACCAGCAAAGCCGTATAGGTTGCGTCAATTTCTTTTTTCTATTTACACTATATACATAAAAACTTCCATAGATTGAAGTACGAACTGTATTGAAAGTACTTTGGCGGTGGATGATTTTGCCGCAGGCTTATTGACTTAAGACTTTTTCATTAAAATAGTCTTGTAGGCTGTAGTATGGTTTCTCCCTCAACAAGTTTTTCAGGGCTGTACGAAAGGCCGTTTCCACTTGGTTTTTGATTGACGTAGGCAGGTGGTTGTAAATCTTCAGGGCAAGCGTTGGGAAAGAGTTTTTGGTTTTAGACAGCCGGCAGAACGGTATGTCCACTGTCCAGGTCGGAGCGATGTCTTGTACCATGGCTATGAACAGTATTTCTTGTAGGGAATTTATGTAGGTTTGCCTTCACATGGTCGGCTGACAAAAAAATGTAATGACTGACAATAGTTAAAATACCGGTGCTGACAAACAGAGGTTTGCAATGGTCATTTCTTTTACTAGAAGTTAAAATACGTACCGCTTTCTTCTGCAATTTGAGAATTTCAAGACATGATGGTGCATGGCCCCAGAGAAGGAGACCATAGCTTAAAATACTATGGAACAGAGCATGGTACACTATGATCAAATAAGGTTTACTGACAAGCCTAGTCAACTTCTGAAGTAGATGGACCACCCTGGACAGTCTTTTTCCAACTGATTGGATGTGTTTATCCCAAGCAAGTTTTGGATCAATTGCAAAGCCAAGAAGATTTACGTTTGGTACATCTTGTACGTGGTGACTGAGAGTACAGGTAAGTCTCTGCGTCTTGTCTTCATTCAATTTTAGTTTGTTGGACGCAAACCAGTGTTTCGCTTCTTCAAATTGGATGTCAGCTGTCTCAAGTGCAAGAGTAGGATTTGCACCATACGAGAAAATGGTGGTGTCATCCGCAAATCTAAGGGCCATACCATTTAATTCGAGGTCATTTATGGCGACAAGGAACAGTACAGGCCCCATAATCGAGCCTTGGGGAACTCAATGGGCTACAGTCATGGCCTGGGATTTTGCACCACTCAAAGAGACCACTTGCCTTCTATTACCAAGATAGGATTTGAATGTGTGTAGGGCGACACCACCCACACCATAACGTTCGAGTTTGTCAATTAGGATTTTGTGGGAGATGCAATCGAATGCTTTGCTCAGGTCGCAAAGTGTCAATGCCAACGTGTCCGAAGATTCAAAAGCATCCTGCACTCTGGTTACAAGTTCGGCCATCGCAGTCACAGTAGATCTATTACGCCTGAATCCATGTTGAAGATCGGAAAAAAGGTTGTTTGATTAAAAAAAAATTACTAGTTGATTCTTGATGATGGTTTCTATTACTTTACTAAACACAGGAATTACAGAAATAGGCCTATAGCTGTTTAGGTTTAAAGGATCGCCCTTTTTATAGATGGGGACCGTTCGTGTAACTTTCAAAAGATCGGGAAAAATTCCAATGCTCAGACAGCCATTTATAATCATGGATAGAGGTTGAGCAATTACATCCACTATGGCCTTGAGGACAACAGTTGACATGCCGTAGATATCCGGGCTACGTGAGGATTTAAACCCCTACACGATCTTTACTATCTCCAAAGGAGTTACTCTCTGCCATCGTACAAGGTTGACATTTGAACGTGGGACATTTTCAGCAGGATCGTCAGCCACTGATGGAATCTCCGAAACCAGTTTCTCAACGTTACCCAACAGAAATTTGTTGAAATCGTCTGGGCTAGCTTTACATAGGGCTGTATTTTGCTTTGAGAGGCTTCTATTACTATTAACTAACGACCAAGCCGCCTTACATGGATTTAGTGCACCTTCAATCTTACTTGTATTATCGAGTTTCTTAGCATCATCGACCTTAACCTTATACGTATTCTTTGTTTTGAAGTACAAGCGTCTAAGACGTTCTTTAGTTTCCTGACATGTAGTCGACACATACCTATCTCTAATGGCTAAAACTAATGCCTTAAGTCTAGACAGCTCAGGAGTATACCACGTGTTAGCCTTTACTTTCGGTTCCACATACTGTACTTAGAATTAGGCTTAGTACTACGGCCCTTTGCCTTAATCTTTTCAGGAAAGTAGATGTTAAATAAGTCATTTATTTCATTAAAAAATGTTTCTAGGGCTAACTCAGGACTTAAGTCCATTAATAAGACAGTCCAGTTTACTAGAGACAAAGCATGTCTGAAATGTGGAAGAATATCTTCTTTAATATTTCTAAAACTTCTACTATATTCTGAGTGCCAACTAGGAAAATCTGAAGTGGTACTCACCGAGGCGATGTTTGTCCTTATAGTCACCACTTTGTGATCAGCAACTAGAGGTTCGGTCACGTCCACCTCATAGGCCCAGGTGTCCAGGTTTGTAGCCACCGTGTCGAGGCAACGATCTCCACGGGTTGGAGCAAAATTTGCAATAAAAAGGCCATGAGCCCTCAGAAGGTTGGTGAAAGTCCTTGTATGTAGCTCGTCATGGTTTAGAGCAATGTTAAAGTCGCCACCCAGTAGGATCGTCTTACGAAGAGATGAAAGTCGAGTCAGGCAGGCGTCAAGACGCTCGAAGGAATTTTCAATGGAACCGTCAGGAGAACGGTAGATGCTTAATATAATAATGGATGTCCCAACTAGTTCAAGTCCTGTGACTTCCATATCAAACTCAGCACAGAGATCATCAAATTTAATGCACTTAGTTTCGAAGTTTTTGTCTGCGTATATTGCCACACCGCCTCCATTGTGATGAAGCCTACAGTAGGCAGAAGATAGTATTAAGTCCTCAATTTTTGGATAGAACTCCAGTTCCTCCACCTTTAGCCAATGTTCGCAAATACAGAACACATTTACTTTAGCATCAGAACAAAAAAGCGAAGCCAGATTAAACTTAGTCCAAAGGCATTGCACATTTAAATACCCCCGTCGCAGCAAACCTGCATACTAAGCGAATTTCCATTTACCCGGCTTGATTTCTACTAAAATATTCCCTATAAATTTTCAGATTTATTTCCATTTTTAAATAACATTAATTTTAGTGAGTAGTTAGGTTTGCTGCTACGGGGAAGATGTTGAGGTGTGTTTTTTCAATTGAAATATTGATAGCTTAGTATGAAATAAACCAAATTGCCAAATTTGATTAAAATATATCCATAAACAAGCAAACTAGAACAGTTTATTTATTCTCCATAAGAATAACATGGGAATTTTAAATTTACAATTTTTTTAATTTTCTCTGTAGTCAATGAACATTCAAAAACACTTCAATATTCTAAATTATTTGTTTTTTCAAGCTCTTCAAAAAGGTCTAGAGAGAAATTTAGAAATTTTAAGTTTTTAGGGTCAAAAATGAGAAAAACCTATTTTTACCCCATAAAACCTCCCATAAACCCCTGATCCCATGGTCCGATTATGCTAGTTCGCGAACTCGTTCGAATAAATGTAGGTTTACACGTTTGTACCAAATTTCATCAAAATCGGATCAATTTTGCTCGAGTTATCGCGCTAACGGACACATATATAAATATATATATATATATTTATATATATATATATATGAATTTGAACGGATGGTGTTTTTGGCCTCTGGGGACCTCAAAACGAAAAAGTAAATCGGTCCCGGGTCTAGGTCTTACCATGAGACCTACGGTAATAGCTTATTCCCTATATGGGAAATTCGCTAAAAAGATATATTACACAAATTGTTATTTACATGAGTGGATGAGACACTTTGCACCACACTTAATTGTTTGATGTTTGGCCTAGGGCTTCTGAGCTCAGGCCTAGTCCCTGCACTGATTGAGATTGAGTTGAGTTTTTCTCCGAGGCTTTCCTGAATAAAAAACGCTTTACTGTTACGTTTTTAGGCCAGATAGAACTCTTTAGGAAGGTGTCCTTACCAGCAAAGTATATACCGATCTTGAAACTGTCATTAGTACCCTTTGTTTCCAACTTTTCCACGATGCAGTCTATGTTAGGAAACTGTTCAGACACAAACTGTTTAACTGTTAGCTGTCTTCAGATGTCCCTTTCTTAACCTTGCCCAGGTGAAACAAAGCCTTTTTAGTTCCTGATAGAAAGTTACTAGCCTTTCCAGAACCCACACTACTAGAGTTTGTTACACTGACGAACTTCGTCTTCACTTTAGCAAGATGGCGTACCTTAGCTTCATTATTCATTTGATGAGAAGTTTAGGCCTTAGTGGCGGAAGTAACAGGTGCGGCAACCTTCTGCAGTGCAAGAGAGTAGTTTCTATGTTTTTTATTTTGACGATTTACCAACGACCAGCCGTTTTCATTCAAATTATCCACATTTTTAGAAACTTGAGTTAGTGAAGGCATAATATTCTCAGTTTGATGGCTCCCATCAATTTCTGATCCACATTTTGCAGCGTCATTTTGTAGTTCACTAAGATCATTCAGATCCGTCACGTTGTCGTCCTGGGAGAGCAAGTGCGCGTCTTCACTACCAATTTCGACGTCATGAGTGACGTCATTGTCATCATCAGCTTTATTAACCTCGTTAGTCAAAGGGTTTTTAAAATTAGAATTTTCCGCAGAGGGATTTTCATTACACTTTAGCACTCCCATTGGCTTTGTTGTCACGGCATTTTGCAATAGATCAAACATTTTACCTAACACTAATTGTATATTGATGAACTCGTCACAGTTAGTCCACGACTTCTTGAGGTTCTCAAACTTCTGGCTGCACGGCACACAGAACCACACTATAGTCTCCTCCAACTTCTTGATAGCGTTATATTTAGACTTATTTATATTCACACAGGATCCGAGGTACCATAGATCGCAGAAACCGTCACACTGTATTGCAACATCGCTGTCTACAACTCCTTTTCGGCACATCCCACACGGGTTCACAACTTCATCCACCGCCACCAACCTATAACCTTCATAGACGACTTGTCACTCATCATTAATTATTATAAACGTGTAATTCATAATCATTTCGCAACCAATTAAGTATTTTTCCTTCCCGTTGTGTTTTTACCTCTATGTATCGAGTCCGCACTTTGTAGCCTTGTTGACCACACGCAGCGTCACATTTAGACCACGCAGACCATCGGCTGAACTTGCAGTCCACTACGGGCCTCTCCGTCCCCTCGTACTGTTCCCCTAGCTGAGCAATAATCAGAATCAGAATTAGAACCTTTTATTGCCGTTAAACATATGCAGGTCCAGTCACATTTGAAATATCTTAGCCTAATATTACACGAAAAAACAAACAAAGGCCTAGAACTAAACAAAAAGTGGTAACATTGAACCATTAACAGTTTTTCCAAGAACTCGTTGACAATGTGTTTTTCCACTAACGAATTTGACAAAACTTTCTAAAATTGTAAGAAAGTTCTAAAATTTAAAGAGGCAGTTTGTTCGTGGGTTGTGGTTAAAACCATGACCACCATTCAATGTAAAATATTACTGAAATAATAAATTAATGTCTATCAACTTTTGTTAAGAAGTAACTGTAACGAATATTTATAAATTTGTATTCATTATTTCAGTATTCAAAAGGGCATATGCCGTATTACTACTTCCATACATTTTATCCACATTTCTTACTTAACTTTTACCACGATAAAGTGATATTGCAGAAAAGTAAAATTGAAAGGTTTTAGATAAGTATTTTTATTAATAAATGGATTGTCATTTTAATTCAGTAATGCAAGGATAATGTTAAATAAAAAATTACATTGCCCTTCTCGTAATCTGGAAAAGATCGTTTTGTAAGATATAATTTGTGTAACATTGTCATTTGCAGGAGAGAAAATCTTAGTTTTCCTAATTTGGAAGGAAGAAAATTAAGATTGCAAATCCACTAACATAAATATTATCTTTTGAATTAGTTAAGTTAGATGTGTGTACCTGTGAACGCGCATTCAGCTCTGGGTCTTCTTCTGGAGCTTCTTCTGTCGGTTCTTCTTCCACTTGTGGCTCTTCTTCATCTTCCTCAGGCTCTGGTTCTAAACAAACATACGACGTCTCATGTAGCATTTTATCTTTGCGTTTCCTAAAATGTGGGGGTTCCCAATAGAATAAATAACAAGTATACCTCTTTAAGGCCTTGGTAATTCCATAGGAAGGTGGGTATATAATTCGTATATGATTGAAATAGTAATTTTGAGTTGAAAAACTTTGAACAGTACAAAACTGTTTTTATGATTTGCTTCAGTGGCATTTTCATCGCATTCATTAACATCGCACGTTTTGTTACTAATAAACTTCGGGCTGATACTAGAAAGTTTGTTAAGTAGGCAAATAGCCTATATAATTATATATAGTTATATAATTGATAACTGAAGACACCGTCAATACCGTTACAATACAATCGGTGACTTATGTACTTTGGAGAACCGATGGCCCTTGATCCACTCAGCAACGGTTAAAATAGGCATTTTATCAACAACAACAAGAACAACAACCACAACAATAATGATATTTTAAACAATCGATATTTAGCCGTAACCAATGTTTGAAAGTATTGTTAATTCTTGTTAACTTGCAAAAAAGATTCAATTTATGTCTAGTTACGGCTTATGTTATTTCGTAATAATAATCCTTTTTAACCCTACTTAAGGAGTGATTCCGGATTTTAATAAAGCAAAGCCAAAAGTTTGTAACAGGGTATTCTATGTAACCATCGATTTGCTAAACCCTGGATAATCAGTAATATGAACAGTGTCTTAGAAAATTGTGTATCTTTATGGTTTTGGCTGTTATTTCCAATTCATTTAAAACAGTTAGCGTTACGTTAAGTTGTAGCAGTTAAATACTCTTAAGTAAGTAATCAAAACAGATTTTTTCTACCAGAATCTACGTTCCCCTTACTCAAAAGAACAAGTTAATCTATAAGTACAGTCAAAGGATAATAATTAAATAAGTTTAATTTAAAAATACACATCTGAACTATTTGAGAATGTTAAACCTATCATAGATTCAACAATAAATAACATATAATTATCACAACTGCAAACAAGTCAGTTAATTTATAAAAAATAACTTGTATAACATGCATAGAATACACTAAATCACCTATATATATGATCAGTAAACATAAACAGAAATTGAAGCATAAAACATCATGCTCAAACAATTGGAAAACATAAATACTTTACAAAGTGTAAAAATAAAACAGGTACAACAAAAGACATGAATTAACATGCAAAAACTAAAACTAACAAGGACAAAAACAAAACATAAAACAAGCGTAGCCTACAATTAATGTCATCATCTCAGCCTGCAAAGATTTGTTGTTTCTTGTTGTTAATGTATGCTAATTTTATAATTTAACACTTGTAACGCCTTTTCAATTGATTAATAAATTGTATTCTATAGAATTAATTTACCACAATCACTGCGGAGTTCTACTTTGTAGTTCAATACTCCAGAAAGTGAGACTCCGAATTCTCGAAGTTTTTCAGCACGTTTTTCAATTAACTCCTCTGTACGCAGCATTGCAAACAATTTGAAATGTCATTAGTGAAGTAGTATTAATTTAGTTTAAATAAAATACTAGACTGGTAGTATCAGTTTGATCGCTTGCATTGTAGGCCTACTTAGGAAGTAAATTGCAATATTTATTATTGTATGAAATTGTTTTGTCAATTGCAGGCTGTTTTGATGATAATTAAAAGTTAACGAAGAATTTACAGTAAGTAAATGATAACTAAGGTATAATGTGGATGATAAAATAACCCAATAAATCAAATTCATTAAAAAATTTACATAGTAATAAATGCAGTTTATGTGTCTCATTAAAATCTCTAAAATAAATTAAACGATCACAGTGCACTACTATCACTCAATACAGTGGTGTTATACTACAGTGGTATATAAATACTACCATAGATAAAACGAGGAGTATGTTTTATCTATGATACTACCCATATATATGTTTTATCATAACTTCTTTGCACATAGACTAACAAAATTGTAATTTGGAAAGTGTTAAATGCTTTTATAGACTACTTTAAAATCAAATTATTATTATCTGATACATAAGGATATTTGATCTATGTGGAAGCACATTGAATCTATAGTTATAATAAATTCTTTTGATATTTATTACATTGAGTTACCTTACGTTATTTGTGTAGTATATTTTACAATTGATTGTTTTAAGGGGGTGGTCTAGACCTTGTATGTTTGATATGTTAAGTCACTGGATATAATAATGTATTCATACCCAAAATACAAAAGGCCAGAATCGATCCAGCGACCTTAATATTTGAGGGCGAGTAATCTAACACCTCAGCTACAAGGACAATTATACAACTATCATGTAACAGAAAACTAAAACACACACAACAAACACAAACACAGGAACCAAAGTACTGTATTATACGAAAAATACTGAAAATAACCAAAGTTAACAGGGTGGATCTACAACGATGTCGATGACGTTAATTTCCGCATAGCTCACCAGTATACGCTTGACAAGCTGTACGACATTCTTCTCTGGACAGGAATCTGTTCCTGTTCCCGCGACAACCTGTCCACTCAAACTCCGCGCAGTCCTCCAGCTTGGGGTTGTAGAAGAACCGGGTGACCATGGGTCCAGGGCATCGTCCCGGATGAGGAGGCAGTGAGCAAATCTCTGGGGTAGCGAGATAAAAGGGATACAGTGCATTGAGAGTTTACTTGTGGTAGTGATATAGGTTACAGTGAATGGTGGTGTTTAGAAGAGATTATTTGTAATTTTTCGTACCCCTGTAAGGAAATGATCATATTGTCACACCTATAACACTACGCATAACAGCTCGTTTCCGCTCTAGAGTGGAAAAGACCATTCTCGCTTGCTAAGTGACCGAATCAGCTGATTTGCTGTTGACGTTTTTATAAAACTCTAAAATCTAGTAAGAAAAAAACAAATTTCATATTATATACAACTAAAAAGTTAATCTGTGTGTTATGATAAGCTAATTGTGATGGTAGGAAATATCTTTTGTGCATTGCGAGCTCAAAAAGTCATTGCCGCTCTCGCCATGTGGCTATCTACACCTCTCAAGCGGTAATGACGTATTTTGCGCTCCTAATATACAAATAGGTATTTTTATTTAATTTAACGTTCTATAAAACTACATCCCACATAAAAGAAAAAAAACCAACACTATTTAAAGGAGAGTGAAGGTAAATAAATTATTGTAAATATGACTAGTAATATAATTTTACAACAAGGAAATGTCAACTAAAATATAAAATCACTTGTCAAAATAAAAACTATTAAAAATTATATCCAACAATCATTATTAATTTATTAATTCCTGTAAGTTTAAGGTAACGAGCTATAAATACACTTTTTCCACTGGTCAAAGATAAGGTTAAAAATTGTCGGTAACTTAAGCAAACTAATTTATCACAAATAACTATAAGTCACATTTTACCAGTGTTTGTCAATCTGAGCTTGAGAACGAACTTGGTATTTAGTATAAACATACGTCATGGACATCTTGGATACTTCCTTTAGTAATATGAAATATTAAATGAAAGAGTTGATAAATATATGTTGTTAATTTTAATACAATAATAAATAAACTTACTTTAATAATTAACATGCAAAATAATCATTATGTATTGATTTCTCTATACAAAGGCAAGGGAAAACAAGAATACACATCAAATCATTTCCTCCAATTCAATTTTACTTAAATTGCTAAACAAAAAAATTATATAGGCTGGTAATCTACAGACAAATGTAAACATATACAATAATGAGACTAAATCTATCAAAATAACAATACCTAAAACTAAAACTAAGAAAAAAATACTTGAATAATTATAGTGCATGAATTAATTGAACAAAAATAATGAAATATCCACAAAATAAAAGAGAAATTTTTTTATGACTATGCAAAAAATAGCACAAAATTTTAAATAAATCATAAGAGAAACATAAATATTCCTAAATCAAACAAGTAATGTGGCTAGTAAAATTAAGGAGGAGCACATAGCAATTAATCCTGAGTAATGGATAAGTAAACACTCGTTATTTTTATACCACATCGATTTTTTAACCGTGAATTTTGTTTGATATGTTATTTGAGACATGTCTATGTCTATGTAGCAATTAGAAAAATGATACCCCCTTAAATTACATAGGCTTCATAAATAAATATTTCATAAGTGAATGAATGGTTTAATTACCTTTACTGTCAAAGCGATCCTTGTAGTCTTAATAGGCTACTGCAGTTTCGATGACCTTTTCATGGTATCTTCTTCAGGCTATAGGGACATCATCTTCGTTCGCTTTCACGAAGATGATGTCCCTATAGCCTGAAGAAGATACCATGAAAAGGTCATCGAAACTGCAGTAGCCTATTAAGACTACAAGGATCGCTTTGACAGTAAAGGTAATTAAACCATTCATTCACTTATTGAAAAAAGCGATTCAGAGGCTGTCATCATGAAAATATTTCATATTCTGACTAACTATATCGTTAGCATTTCTTATGGTCAGGGTGATCATGACATACAGTACTTGTGGTTTTAGCACTCATTAATTAAAATGATCCAATTAATTGTATTATTTTGTTACACTGCATTGTACTGTATTGTATTTGTAGACATTTTTACTTAGAGATGATCAATTCTCAAGTTTTTTTTTTTTTTGTTATGACAATAGTTTGATTATGATGTATATTTTTTTTCATTTATACCTGCGTACTAATTTTGAATGAAAAACAACCAATGGTTTCTATTAATTTCCCTTAGATAAATAACATATTACATGGTTATAAAACTATCAACTAATATTTAAAGCTTAACACACCTAAAATTTTAATATCACTAAAAATTATTAAAAAGTAAAAATAATAATTGCTATGTCTGACATAAAACTACAGTAAGTTGCTAAAATGAAGTAAAACCACCCTTAAAAAAGTTCCAGCTCTTTATATTTTGTTACAAAAATATAAGCTGTTTAGGGAAATCAGTCTCCTACTTGAACCTAATTCTTTGAAATAATAGCTCAACAGCTGAGGTTTGCCAAAAACATCAATCAGCTGTGCCATTATATAAAGAGTAAAGGTAGTGGGGGAACTTCCCCTCAAACCGCCAACATTTTAGAACGGAGTATAACTAACACGATATGGATATTTCAAATCTTATATGACAAATTTAAATTAAGGCTTACCCCTCGCATCCATCTCTGAGAACTGACATGTAGGGTAGGTTCCATTGCAAGGCATAACCTCTTGAGTCTTGTATATGGAGCAGGCACCTTCAGCATACTCTGCCTGGCCCTCGCCATCCCCACCCTGCCCGCCGTCACCCTCTCCGTCCATACCTACACAGGAATACAATTGAAGTTTGCAGTTCAAGATCGTTGAGAATTATTTTAAGCTGGTGGGTTGAAATCATTATGTTAATCATTATGTTTAGTTCGCACAACGTAATGTTAAGCATGTACAAATCGTTTTTTTTATTACAGTGATTTGACAAGTAAATTGTACATTTGACTATTTATAATTTGATTAAGCTATTCAATGCTATGTGTTTTCTTTAGAGGTATACAAGGACCGAATCCACAGAAGACTATTAGATACGGTTACGGTTAATTGCTTATATGAACAAGAATACAATTAACATTACACTAAGAAAGGGACACAATTAATTATGGCATTATAACCTGAATATGAGTTAAAGATGGGTATTAAATGGAGTCCTTTTAGGGGTTTGCTTAATTAGTGGTGCTTAAGCAAGGAATATTTAATGAAAGCCTAACGATCAAGTACAGCTGTATGTCCTGGCCCAAAAAGATGCTGTCTAAAGATCAAACCGACAAACTTTTGACTGAAAGACGATTACTATAACCACTCAGCTATTAAAAGAAAGTACCAATATCTAATTAACTATTTATATCAAAACGAACATTATAGAGGAGACTCAGTACTTTGACCTACCTTCTAGATCGTCGTCTGTGCCGTAGTCCTCGTCGTTGGTCCTAGAAGCTCTGCGGTACTCCGCCCTAGGTTCATCATCACCCTCTGGAGGGTTCAACAAGTACCTGAACCTCCTGGTTTCTCCAACCCCACAAGTCACACTGCACGGACTCCATTCGCTCCACTTGGTCATGGCACACTCTCCTGCCGGCTCGTCCGTCTGAAGAAGTAATATCCTATTAATTGTGAGATGGGAACGAAAAAAATATTGTTTTCCTACAGTCACCCGACAGAAGTGGGCTTCCTTAAACTAATTATAGTACAGAAAGCTACTAATTGCTGCATTTACTTTGTCGCACACCAGTATTCCAACTAAACAACACAAAGCGTGCTTTTATTATGCACGTAATCCGAATTAGGTTGAATTAGGTTGGCAACACTACTACGACTACGATCAGCTGTTGCTGTGTTTCCCATTTCAACGCTTGGATTTAACCTAACCTAAAAGTGTTGTTTAGTGTTTAAAAGTCTAATTATTTCTAAGCTTTATAATAACTATAGGGAAAATATAATGTGTCACACGAGTGCTAATTGCTTTTTCTGCAAAGTGCCACTTTACCTACTAGTTACACAAATAACTATTAAACCGAGAGTAGAGGAGGAAATGGGCAAAGTCAATTTTGTTCCAAATTGACGTAAATATGCATAAATATTTGTTTTTTGTGTACTTTATGAATACTGTATATAAATATTGTGAGGAAAGGAGGCTTAGTTACCACGAATACCATCTGAAAGGATTTGACACCAAGGGGAACAAGGGGCTAAGCCAAGATTAAATTTCGATTCAAGAAAATTATGTAAACGGGCTTCACCCCTTCCTCCCCTGGGCCCTACTAGGTGGTTTGTCACAAGATATCGAGTGCACGTTAACAGTATGCACAAAAGGGCTTTTGGATGAAAATGAGAAATGAGACGTATTTAGCAAAGGGCATACACAAGTTTTTGCCTACCAGTGAAAGAAAGATTTAAAATTTAGTAAACTCAAAGGACTTTTTCAAGAAAAATCATAATTACATATAATGTGTTTCTTTGGTTCCATATTATAATATTTATTCACCAAATCGTAAAATATTAATGAGGCTAAGCTAATGAGCTTGAAAAATAATAGGTCTTTTAGGTAATTTTATAAAAACTGAAATCAAAAATTTAACCCAGAATATAAAAAGGATTAGTAAAAGCGTTAAATGATGTGTGTAATTTAAATCTAACTTTTGGTTGATATATGATAGTAAAATAATCATACATGCAAAGCATTTCAATAGTGCCATGTAATAGATATTACTTTAATCAAGACTAAATGTTAACTATTGTTCGAAAATAAATTATCTCAGTGAAAAACATTGAGAGCTTTACTGTATAAACAAACCTACTATAGGCTATCACAACTTTAGTTATATTTAAGGCATAGTACAATGAAAATAGTTTGAGAGATAGAAATAGACTGCCATATTGTTCCAGTGAATTTAGAGTTATAACGAAAATACATTGACAATATCAATCTGGTTCCAATTAAAAAGTAAATGAATATAAGGAGTAAACAACGTTGATTTTATACACGTCCTAAAATTGTTCCAAGAATAAACAATTTTAGTTTAAAATCTCCTAACAACACCTATGGGTGGTCTGACACATTCGATTTCATTTATGATTTATAACGAGGAAATTATAATAAAAAATTATATAATCCCTTCACTAAAGTCCTGAATAGACTATAATAGATCCTGTAACATGAAAATAAGGTGTTATAAATAAAAAAAAATAATTTAAACCACAATTTATTGATATTGACTTCCATAACGATATTCAATAGGTGGTCTAGTATGGCGGTTGACCCAAGCTTCACACCTTTCTTTGCAAAAAAAGAAGAGATTACACATTTCGTGTATGCATAATACTAGGTAGGGTGTTTAAAAAAGATATATATATATATTATTAGTGTATTTCGTCCAATAGTGGTATCAACAATAAGTATGTTATTCCATAATGTACGTAAATAGATTGTTTTCACCATTGGAACTGATTAGAAAGTTTCGTATTTTTTTAGCATCGGTATTCAGGGTATCCCTTTCAAGAGTCCACTTTTGTAGACACTAATTTTGTAAACTTTTCTTTAGGTTAGTTTTGCGTTTATGAGGTGAAAACATAATGTTCATATTTGTGGACATATTTATAAAAGAAATACGATTTCCATTTGGTTTTTGAGATCTTTACGTTAAGTAGAACAAAAAAATAATAGATATTAGTGACTATTCACTGGGCTTTAGTCAACGCTCGTGACGTCATTGTTTGTTCTGTTATTTTTTCCCGTAATAGTATTAGCTATAACAATAATTATTGCTGTGATATCAGTGTAAAGGCAAATAATTAATTTTTTAAATAATACTATTTATTTTTGTAGGATATATTTATATATCTATGGAAACAAAATCAAAGGAATTTTCTAACGTCAAGTGTCCATAATAATTGTGGACACTGGGTATAAATAAAAAAAGCGTTAAATAAAACTAATTATAAATAATAAAAAATAAAATAAAAAATAACTAAAAAAAATTATATATATAAAATAAAAATTTTATAACAGAAAATATGTAAAATGAATGAATTATTAAAATAAAAAATAAAAAAAACATATGTAAAACTGTGTTTTACAGAAATCTTTGAATCTGAAAACGCAAAAATGGCAATTCTTTTCGATTTTGTGATTTTAAATTGAAATATAGACTATTTAGAAGCATATTCATAGGTTTTAACCCACAGATAACTTTATAAGGCGGTATAAAGAAAAAATATATTTATTTTTCAGGTATTAATGACCAGTGTCTATTTTTGTGGACGTTTCATAAAAAATTTAACAAAAATTTAATTTTTTAAATTTTGCTATCAAGCAATTTTATAGATCTTAAATAACAATAATTTGAAGAACAAATATTTAATAACAGAAAATTATTTAGGTCCAAAAGGGTTGTTAATGTTTACTTTTATGTTAGTGATGTTAAAAGCAGCCTATGCAGTATTTTAGAATTGGCTAAGTGAATAAAATTAATCAGTTAGTCATGTCATGAAATCCAGTAAGCTCAATTTTAAGTACCCCATCTTCATAATCTTCATTCTCGTTGCCGTCATCGTATCTGTTGCCATCGTATCGGTTGCCATCATGTCTGTTGCCATCGTATCTGTTGCCATCGTATCGGTTGCCATCGTATCTGTTGCCATCGTATCGGTTTCCACCGTATCTATTATCATCGTTTCTATCACCATCGTATCTGTTATCATCGTCTCTATCACCATCGTATCTGTTATCATTGTCTCCGTCATTTTCGTTATCTTTGTCATATGTGTCATTGTCTTGTTCATTTTCTTCATTGTCCTCTCCTTGTTCTCCTCCTTCTTCTTCATTACCCGTCTCTTCATTATCAGTATTGCCATTATCATCAGCACAACATGTGGAACCTTGTGCTCCAGGAAAGAATACCTAAGTACATAGTTAGTTTTACTCTGTGAAAGTGTCTGCAAAATTTCCTTTAATACAAATATAAATAAAATTGTATTGAATAATAATAAATACACAGACGTCCTATCTAGCCCTGAGTTTAAACATTCAAACCTGAAAAATGCGCATAAAACATATAAAACCTCATTTAACTTTAGATTAATGCGTATTAAATGCTGAATTAAGAGATAAATTCATGTAAGAAAAAAATGATATTACTGAGCGAATATATCATGACAGTTTTGCTCTAAAACCTTTCTTGGGGATGTTCACGATGTATACGGTAGTAATCTGATCTCAAGTCATCGTGGAACTTGCAACACAAATCAAAGATGGAAACGTCGCGAACAACATGGAATTTAACTAAGAACTACTATAAAACAAAAATAACACTGTATTTCTGCCAGCAGATAAAACAAGTTAATGATACACTCATCAACACATTCTTACCTATCAAGACAAAACAGTTTGCTCAGTAGTAATCCTTTCTCCTAAAAAATTAACTACTTTTTTCGTTGTTTTTCGTGTATACAAAAAACGACGCTAGAGGAGATACGATAATCTTCCTCTCTTAAAGAACAGGTTCAGGCCTACCTTTTGCCCTTGTTAGTGTTTTAGGTGAAACGGTACAGGTAATTCTAAAGACTATCTTCTGTCCATTCGGTGTAGGGATTTCACCTACCTTTTTCCAATTTATGTTTTGGGGAAATCACTGAAGGAGCTTTTAAGGAGTATTTATGTTCATTTTTAAGGTTTGGTTTCCGATCAACCTTTTCCCTTTTTTTGCTCTTGGACCACTGAAAGAGCTGCTAAGGAATATTGTTTCTCCTTTAATGTATAGTTCCTGACCTACCTTTTCCTATATCTGTTTGTGGGCCAGACACTAAAAGAGGTGTGCTACTAAAGAATATTTTCAGGGAGCAAGCTGGTAAATTGGTATAATGCGGAGCTTATGTACCCGAGGTCCCAGGTTTAAATCTCGTCAATTTTTTACATCCAACTGATACTTTCGTGACCCTCCAAGCCTAGCATGAAATACGTAAAACAGTTCTTGACTAGAACCTAGCGTAATAAAGGTGGAACGAAAATGGCATGGTTTCTTTTACCTTTTTCCCTTGTTTGTTCTTTGGACAGATGCTGAAGGAGCTGCTGAGGATACACTCGCGTTCGTCAACTTTCTTGACACTGAGGCAGTACTTGAGTCGGTAGTTGTCTCTGGCGGTCACGTGACGATATCTCTTCTGCATGCCTCTCTCGCAGCGGTTGTCCACAGGCTCGCAGCGGCTCCAGTCTGCCCACTCCGACACTTCGCACTTCGGGTCGATAGGCTCCTCCGTGGGTTGAGGCGACATCCTAATACAAGATTAGCCAATAAAGTGCACTCAAGAAGTAAAAAAAGTAGAACATTATTTGCTAGTTTCTGTCTAAAAAGATTCAAGAATTTGAATGATGATTCAAAGGTGCAGTAGGATTTGAATATGGTTAGTAGGATCGTCAGCTGCACCATGGTTGCCTATAGAGCAACAAACTCTTGAGAGGCTCTTCTTCCAGGATGAGGATTCTTAACGCAAAATCCGACCTGCTTCACTTTCTCAGAGTGAGACTTGAGGGATTAGATAATTGTATTACAGTCTAACACTGTAAAACGAGCTCCACTAAGGCCATCACTGAATTCTATTTATGGTTTAGGGATAAAATTATAGGAATTTGTCCTCCCTCCTACTTAGGTAATGAGTTCATATTACAATTGTTTCGGAGTCATATGTTTATTTTATTAAGTTTTTTTGGTAATTTGTTTTTCTTTTTTTTTATTACAAAAAGTGGAAAATCGTGCATGCTTAATCACACACCTGCACTGTTGGAGCATGCAGTATTTTCTCTGGGACAGCTTCTCCGGCCTTGGACACTTGTTGCGGCCCTTCTTGATGAAGTTCCTGACCCTGTACTGGTAGCCCGGGCCGCAGCTGGACGAGCAGGAATTCCAATGTGTCCACTCCGTTAACGCGCATGGATCTGTGACAGATGTTCTAACATCAGTCAACACTAAACCAATTAAAATATTGTAACAAATTGCTGTTCAAGCGATTGATGTGGAAGTGTTCAGACATTTCAATAATACAAATCAAAAATGTATACCTCTGTCAAATGCCTTTCAACAATTCCATGACACTAGTCATAAGTTCCAAAAAAATACAAAAAAAAGAAGCGGATGTTTCGTAAAGAATATTTTTTTCGCCTTAAAACTTATAAGTGTAATCAAATGATGTGATGGATTTATTTACACTTGAAAACTGTTTCTTACCGTCAGTCATGGGTTCATCATCGCAGGTCTTCTCGTATAGTCTCTGTCTAGTCAAGTACAACCTGGCTAGAGGCTTCATTTCTGCACCTGTTCAACAAGAAACGAAAAATATAGAGTTTATCTATCTAGGAAATAACCGCATGGCTTTTAGAGAAGATAGTTTCAAAATACAGAGTGTTCAAAAAGAGTCGAGATATAATTCAAGTAGCACTTCCATGGGTGAAAAATAAAGAGATAAATAAACCAAGAATAATTTTTTTTCAAAAATCACTTTTTTTACCAGATTACGCCATTTTGAATTGTTTACATAAACATTTTTATCTATGAATTGCTCCAACCGATCTTTATGAAACCTGCTATGTATCTTAGATAGAAGCTACCTAGAAGAGAAAAAAAAATAATTATCTTGGTTCCATTCAACATTTCACAATGTAGGCCATTTACAAACTTAAATTACAAAAGAATTCTGATTTTATTAAACAAATTTCAAGTACAATTTTATTTTACTTAACATTTTACATTCCCTATTAAACGACACAAAGTTCTAAAAGATTAAATAAAGAATAAGTTAAATATAACGATTTATGATCGTCAAATGAAGTTTTTACAACTTAAAATCGTGATGTATCAGTTATTTATTATTAAATTTATGTATAGTGCGTATTATTCTTAGAGCTAATGAGAATAATAAATTGTAATTCTAGCTTGAAATTTAAATAAATATTGGTGTTAAAAAAAATAAATTCTTTTTAATAAGCTTATGTTTACATTGAAATAGGTTCAATATAAAAATGTATAAAAAAGTTTTTACGACTTACCAGATGGGTCGTAGAAGGGTGATTTTGGATCATTCGGAAACGAAGATGTTATTCTTCGAATCTTGTCTCTAGGCACTGTCTGTTGGTCTGGCGACTGAAAATGACTCAAGTTTTAATTTAAAGCCTATTAGAACGTAAACCCAATAACAATACATACCGTCAAACAATTATACTTAATTAAAATTCACTACCATAAAAATTGTTTTTGTAAAGACGAAAAACTCTTAAAAATTTGTACGATTCTAATAAATACTTTTCATAATTTCTTGGTTGTAAATAAATTTAACTGAAAACTAAATGTCAGGGAATAGCGGTCCTTTCAGTAAAATCCCCGTTACATACTTTTAAGATACAGTTTGTTTTATTTATGTTGCCAATGAGCAAACGGGTTTTACCCCATGAAACATGGCAAACAGTTTTTTTATGAACGTAGAAGTTGTTTATATATTTTGTAAATAAACATAAACTTCATTGAATTTTCATTATAATTTACTAGTTGCAGTTTACTTTTTACCTGGAGAGTACGCGGGAGATAATTTATACGGTGCATTGCCCTTCCGTTGATAACAATATTTACTAACTCAAAATTTACTATTGAAACAAAAATAAACTGTATCACACATTCGAATTAAGTTCTCTTTGACTTAATACAATCAGCCATACTGAAAAAAATACGACTTTATCAAAATGGAAATAAACAAAGTGGAGACTATGTAAGAACTGTGTTTGTTTTTCGTTGTCATGGAGACCAATGAATATTATTTTCGGAAATATTCATCCTAAAAATCACCTCCAATCAGACTATACTAGAGGTCACCCCATGGTCACAAACTAGACCAAAAATTTCATTTGTTGTGCTTATTTTTGAACCTATTTTAGTTTTAATTTATAAAGGTATTCTGCACATCTAGAGGCAAATGTATTTCTAACAGTATGCGTTAATTTTCCCTGTGGTGCACACAAGCTGAGAAAAAATGTTTTCAAGAAACATTCTTGCGTATCAATTAGACCAATTAGGATATACTATAGACTATCCTAGAATATTGTTAGGTATCCCTAGGTTATCTTACAATTAGGTTGTAATGAAAACCAATTACTATTTTGTTCAAAATTGATTAACCTCACAACCACATCAAGTTTACAATACCATATCATTATTCAGGGTGTCCATAAAGAACGTTTAAGGACTTTGGATATGGATCTTCATTCTTAAAAAAAGAAAATCGTTTGTGTAAAGGTATGTTTGAAAATACATATTTAACCAGGTATCCACCATTTTGTTTTTATTCATTAATATTCTTATATTTGGACTTTTTAACCAATCTTTATGAAGCTTGGTGTTTAAACTATATAATAGGTAAAGAGACCTATGTTATAGGAAAGCTAGGTAGGTACAATTACTAGAAATATCATAATGGCATACACTAAAAACGTTCTACTGTATTTCAGTTATTTGTTGATATTTTTTATTTTTGTATTTTTGAATTTGGTGTAATTTGATACGACATTTTAAATTGTAAATAAAAGTCTCCTTTGAGACATTTTCATAAAATTAACCATTTTTTTGTAATTTATCTATCAAAATTTAAACGACCGCCATTTTGAAACTGCTAACCAACTTTTTCTTCCATGACAGGTCTGTTCTATCTTCTACATGCATACCATGTTTCATAATCATCGGTTAAACAACTTTAAGGATAAAAATATTTATTAATGAAAAATAGTGGATAACTGGGTAAATATGCATTTTCGAGCATGTCTTCACAAACTTTTGTCTTTCTTTTAGTATAAGTAATCATATACCAAAGTCCTGAAAAGTTTTTTACGGACACCCTGTATATTACACAGCTGGATATCTTACAATGTAGGTGACTCCACTGTCTGTTCCGGCGTCCCAGGGGTACAGGTTGAGCACTTTGGACTCCACCCAGCTGCAGTTGCGTAGACATAGCTCGAGGGCTGAGACTCCGACTATCCAGTCAGGGGACGGGTCTGAAACAAGGGGAGGGTAAGTAAAAATATTGAAAAAAACATATGGAATCAGCCCTTAAACCTAGAAAAACGCTTTAATATTATTGTTGGTGAATGTTACATGTTTGTGATCATAAATTGTTCAAAATTACACACATTGATTTGTATATGTCATCAAATGCTTATTAGGTTTTCTATCATCACGTTAAATCATACAGACAACACTGTAAGCTCACGTTATCCCGTGAAACGTGCACACCGACACACACACACAGACAGAAAAAACCTTTTCCCTCATTGGTTAAGAATATAAATAATAATCTATATCCATCTATGCTATCATAAAATTGAGGTGGTGTCTGTCTGTCTGTCTGGGCAGCTGTCACGAATAAAATACTAAACCGATACAAACAAAATTAAGCACAAAGATTTCCATATATCTAGAAATCTCATAGGCCTATTAAATTTCCCGTGTTCCTCTCGGGCTACGCCCCTTGGATGTCCAAAGTTTTGAGGTGAGGTTTTCAAAAGTAAATATTAATGTGTCCATGGAATCATGAGAAAATTCGCAATGTTGACCTTTACTTTGGCATTTAAATGTAAACAATATAACTGACAAATGCTTTTGAGAAATTTAAATATATTTTACACATTTATGTGGTAAGATTATTAACCTAAAACTTTATGATAGATTATTTATTCTAAATTTATTTCAATGACAATAAAATAGATTTTTCTTCCCGTTGTGAAGCACGGGTACAGCAGCTAGTCATGGCATAAATCCAAACAATAAATACCAACCCCCTCTAACTATGTTTTAAATACATCATTTTAGATCATGTAGATCATTTTAGGTGAGCATAGATTGTAGGTATGAGCAAATGACGTCAAAGGAAGACGTTACTTATCATCTGGCACTTTTTTACATTTGGCTGGTCATACGATATTTTCATAAAAAAAAAAAAATTTAGTTTCGGAACAGTGACGTCATTTGTTTATTTATTTAGTCAACGGCCAACACCATTTCATCTCATTGAAACATATTTTATGTTTATGTTTAGGATACATAACGTTGGCTGCTCCACATGCCACGAAGTAGAGTTTTAGGTGGTTTTCAGTCTTAGTTATTGTTCTTGGCAAAAAAAATTCTGTTAACACAGCCTTTTGATAACTACTGTAATTGAAAAACTACTCAAACATTCGATGAAGATTTTGAAATAAAACCTACTCACCAATCATGGAGACCAGAGACATCAGGTGGTGTATTCTATCCACTCTGAACACTGCGAATGTTTTGCCGGTCACATTGGGGTAGGAAATGCCCCGAGCTTTTATTATTGTGCGAATGTTTTGGCTCTGAAACAAAATTTAACACTTAACACGACAAATAATTAGGTGACCAAAAGTAATAACACATTTCCACGAATGGCCTTCTGTAGTTGTACATTCAAAACTTAAATCAAGTTTTCTCTTTTTTTACTACAGAACAATGACACATTAACTGTTTTAAAAGCCTGAAAATTATAAATGCAACCAACAAGCAATATCGGAATTTAAACCCATTAATTTCGCTTAGTTAAAACATCTATTTACAATAAATCAGGTGTTAAATCACCTTTTTACAATAAATTGTTGTTATTTCCCGTTTAGCAGTGCAAATGGATTTATTGCTGTTATGGGCTAACCTAAATAATAACTTTTGAAATAAGCTTTTATCCAGCAAATGTAAAGTGCGATTTGGTTTTAATACATTGTTTCTTCCAATTCCTAACTCATAAACAAAAGTATATTCCCTTGTTACTTTGTATTTTAATCAAGGGTTAAACTAAAAGAGTAGAATTTACTTAAAAACATAACATTTAGTTGACAATATTAATGCCAATAAATTACTTTTTCCTACAGTCACCTAACAATGTACATGTTCTCTCACTGATTTGAGAAAGCAAACTGGTCAATTCCCTCATCAGTGAGACAATGTTAACATTGTCTCACTCACTCCAGATTTGCAATATGAAGGCACAAAATAGTGAGCACGTAACATGCAAACAAGGTCATATGCGCGCGAAGTAGGTACGTTGGCAGCACTGGCTGTAAATCAGCTGGTCAGCTGTTGTACTGTTGTATCATTAAATGTCATATTAAAAGTTCATTTATGTGTAAAAATATGTTAGGTTTCTTTACCAATTTATTTGTTTTATGGTCACTGTAGGAAAAATATAATGTTCAACTCGAGTGCAAAGTGCAATTGCCTCACTCGAGAAACCATTCCGTACTCGCCTACAGCTCGTGAGTAAGTATTTCTCTCGAGTGAGTCAATTGCTCGATTTGCTCACTAGTTGCACAAATAACTATTCTATCCTAAATATGTGGAGTGCGTATTATTGTCATTTTTACTTCGGTAAATTAAAAACTACTGTATTACGAATAATTACGATTTATTTTATACTACTGTATTCCTTAAATTCCCGTTTTTATTCAAGACTAAACACACACTTAACAGTGTTAGCCTGAAATACGTTAAAAAGTTACAGTCAGTACTCGAAAGCGTAACTATAGTTAGTTACGCTTGAACGAACATGAAACAAGCACAAGTAACTACAGATTTTACAAAAAAATAGTTATAACCATAATATAACCAGCATTGGGGTAATAATAAATCAGCTGTTTTATTGTTTTCATTGTTGCCACTCTTAAGAATTACACTCCTTTGCAATAAGCACAGAATGGTTAACAATAAAAAAGCGTGAAATCACATTGAATATAAGTATTTATAGTAAAATTATAAAGTTTACTGTGCTTTGTATATGAAATACGAATTCCTTGGATTACTGAAATGTTACTTTAAATTGACGTTTAGTGTAACGATTTTCGTTTGAATGCCAGATAAATAAGACTATTACTCTGTTATAATGCTTACTTGAGATTTGAGCTCTGACTCCAACATTCTGGTAGAACCTCGTTCTGCAACCTGTCTCAGACCTTCGGACGCAATTCCTCCGTATTCCCAGAACCTAAAAACATTTTACATTCAATCAAATAATAATAAATATTCTTCAAAAATGTATAAACTACAATAGTTTTGAACAACCCATAGCTTATACGTGTTGGTGATATTTTCCGGATACCCAAAATATGTTTCCTAACACTATTTAATATATTTACCTACGACCTTTTTTTTAAGTAGCCGTTTCAGTTCAGTTCTTAGAATTGAAAAGTTTCTTATGACAGCATTGTTTACTCTTATAACAGCATGGTTTTACTCATAACAACACGGGTAACGGTCCAATGAGGTTTGGTTGGGAGAGAAGAAGTAAAATTGTAATGATTTGAACTTCAACTAATCAGCTGTTGAGGCCAACTTAATTGTTGAGTGTTGCAATTAGTGTTTGTTTCAATGTTTCGTTGCATCACTTTTAGTAAACACTGTCGACGTTAAAGTAGTGTACGCAACTCGCGTAAATAGTGGTAACTCAACCTTGCGCTAAAAATAAATATACTGCTTTATCTTCAGATTTTTAAGTCACCTTAAAACATTTTTTACTGTTTGGGCTTAATGATGGCTGGCGTGTAACTAGTTGAAAGCAATAGCCAATTTATCATCTTTCTTTTTATAAAGAAGTTTGATACCTCTTTTGACCTTTTGATTCCCCTAATTGTGGGCCCTAAAGGCCTACGTGGAACTTATCAAGAAAAACAAGTGGAGATACGTATAAATAGTACAAAAATAAGTACTATGAAAAACTTTTAAGTACTAACACTGGGACACTAAAGATACTGCTTCCTTAAAGTCAAAAGTAAAGGTTTGGAAGTCCGTTGAGCTAAACTGAGCCACCGGCTCTAGAAAAAGAAAGATGACATAGTTTTTACACATTTTTGTTAGAATATGAAAATATGGAATACTAATTACATTCTTAGACATAAGTATTAAAGATTACTGTTCTTTCATCGTGTTTACTTATAAATGAGCGTTTTTCGGCCGAACCTGTAGTAGCTAGAATGTGATGCGCCGATGACGTCACTAAAGCGGGTCAACCAGCTGTTGCTGGGGAAGTCTTTCGGATGAGTGTGACGGGACCAGAGTCCTTCAAATGTCACCTGTAAAAAGTTATAATGTTTGTAGACAGTTTTAAAACATTTTTAATTGATTCCTGAACTGTAAGTACTTAAATTATGGGCATATTTCTACCATAGTAAAAGTGGAATTGGTTTATTATTAATTTTATTGTTTTTTGAGTAACTTCAGTTGATAACTAGTTTTTGCCAACCCATGTAATCCTTTCAATATTATAGCTTTAGAGTAGTATTGGGTATGAAAAGTTTCTTGGTGCAACTTCTTAGTAGCTTATTTGATAACTGATTTTTAGTGAACTTATTATTATATAACCGTAGCATTGACTATGTATACTGATACTTGATTGAGTATATATATATCGTCTATGTTAGTAGTTTGCTTGTTTCTTGACCTATGCTTTGCAATTGGGCTTTCCATAAGGTGAGTGATGTGATTCTTTAAAATACAATAGAACATTAGATGAGTAACTCGTTTATCACTTAAAAAAATGATCTCAATTGCAATTAAGTAGTTGAACAAAATGTCAACGATTGGTTTAATATCACAGATAGTTTAATAAATCTATTGAGGGCGTTTCTTTTAAATGCAAAATAGGTTAATGAATATTTATTTCCCAAAGCCACCTAGAAACATTAGGCGTAGCTCAAGAAATTTGTAAGATTAGCTTACTGTTGCTGACTTTACAATCTACCCTTTTGTATCCGGTTCCGCAGTTTTTACATTTATTCAAAAAACGAACTCACCATATTACATACAGCAATGTATATAATATACTATAACATAATTAGACCTTTAATCAGTCAATGTTTTACCTCATACTTAGCTTCATCACAAGCACAACAGTGTTCTAGTACTTCAGGTTGTGTGTCGTGACTCTCTTGAACTTCTTCACACAGCATCTTAGACAGAGGACCGTCGTCCTGGTACCAAACATCCCTATGTTCTATCACTGTGGCCCTGCAAGCAGACGTCTGCTACTTAGGTTAATGTGAATGTTATGGTCAGTAGGTTATAGGATATGCCTTAGCATACAGGGGTTTTCAGAGGGAGGTGGACAAATTGTGATCATATAATCAGCTAGCCTGTAGTATGAGGCTTTTGCTAAACAGACTAATTTTATAAAATACCTATAAATGGATTTTAAACCTTAGACTTTTTATTTCAATGTGAGTACCATATTTAAAGGATCTTGTAGATTTATTCCAACCACTAAATAAAATAGAAGTGATAAAACGTTTCAAGACTTAACAACTGACTACGTTCTCATTTTTTTAGTTTTCTAATTTATTGTTGTCTGTCTTTTAGACTTGACTATTATACTATAATTCCAGGCTTTTTTCAGTTAATTGACGTATTAGTATTATGTTATTTGAAGGATTGTAGAAATTTTCCAAAACCATCAGTGAAAAAAACGTTATCACAACGTGTGTAGTTTTACATTTGTTTTTCTTACTTGTTCTTGTGTTTATTGTAACAATATCGTGATAACAGTATTGGATGAGCCACCTTGTGAAGACTTGCTGATTATGCGCTACTAACCTCAATTTGTACTGATTATTGTTTAATTTCACAGATTATTGTGCTATGTGTAGACAACATACAGTCTACATGTGTGGTTGTTTGTGATTTCCCAGCTTTGGCAAAGTTTTTGTAATCTTGTGATGATTTAGGTACTCTCACGTCACGCCTGAGGATATAATTATATTACAGATCCCAAAACTCAGTAACAACTTTGTACTTAACTAATACAGTAACATGTTTACTAATCATATTATGCTCGCAACAATTCTTCAAATAACATAAATTAACCATCATAAGGTTTACTTCAAACATAGTTGTAAGTTACCCGAAGAAACTATCTCATTTCATATCCGACAACGTCATTAACCATATCCTTCTATTTCAAAGGACGTGAGCAATAACCCTTATGATATCAAGCAGTAAATTAAGTGCTACTTGGACTTGGCCACGGGAGGGATGAGATTAATTCCCGGCACCACAAATTATATTGCTTAGACCACTTTCCTGAAGAGTGTTTGAATAACTTTTTCTGTACATTCACATCATAAAATGCTCCTGAAAAAATGTCTAATCCAAGAAACTTGAGAAACGCAATGCAATGAAATAAATCAAGAGGTTCACCTGAAGATTACACAGCCACTACCAGGGGGTGGGGCAGTCCAACGGACCTGCACCTCACTCTTGGGCATGGAGCTGGTGTGGGTCACCATGTTGGGACAGCTGGGACTGAACTTGGTCAGAGTGTCCCCGTACAGCTGGAAGGTTCCTACAGGACGAGGGGTGACGTCACGGGGAGACAACCCCCGCATAGGGATGTGATGTTGCGGCTCCACGACGAGCATGAAGCCGGTGAACTTGGCGGCGACCTGGCCATGGCTGCGGAGACCTTGCAGGCTTACTGAAACACGACGGAGGGTTGTGAGTTTGGGGGTATTGGGAATCGAGCTGGTCTAGTAGGTAAATGTGACTTAGAGCACGGGACTTCGGAGACAAGGGTACCGGGTTCAAATCCCAACAATCACCAATGGATATTATGTGTGTGATAATACCGCAACCCTCTAGGACTAGTCTGAGGTAATATGTAAAACAGTTCCGGGCTAGAACTTAGCGTCCTAAGATGGTTTTTGGAGGGACAAAATGATTGTTAATAAAATAAATTGTTTAAATACATGGTTTCAGAATCATTGTGGGATTTTAACAAAGAATACAGACTTAACAGGTAGGTTAGGTATTTGTTCTAGTGTTATAACTTAATTACGAGTCCTACACGGTACTGAATAATCGTCCGTTGCTAGCGTTAACAGAAGGGTTAGCTATTGTTCATGACTATATAAAGCAGTTCTTACTTATATTAGAGAGCTTGAAATTGCTTTGCAAAGACTTCTGTATCTATTTTTAGCTTTAAAACTATTTTAGTTTTTCAATTGCTTTTCAAAGAATTGTCACAAACCACTTGGCCATTATAATTTCAAATTACATGTGGTTTGTAGCTGGGCAAAAACACATTAATCTTTTACAATAATTGGAAAGTTTTTGTTGTATTTTTCAGCAATGATTCATAACCAGACATACGTAAATGTTTGTTTATATAGCTGTTTAGACGCATACAAAGTAATGCACCTGATTCTTAATATTAAAAAAATAATTAGATAATCAAACGTTGTAGATGTGGTTCAATTAAAAGATATTTATAATAAAGAGTGTGGCTGATAACTGTTGTTTTCATCAACTAAAAACACTCCAGCACAAATGTTTAAAGTTAAAACAGTTTTCAAGTTGCCGGTAAACACACCCGCTGTTGACCTATGTGATGTTAAACGTAGCGTCCAATTTATGGCTGTTTTCACAAGAAGTTCAAACTAACACGATTTTTCTCCTCGTACCTTCAAGCAATAATAACATGACGACAGGAGTATTTACATTTACAAAATGGTTACATTTATTAGTAAACAAATGTTGAATGGTATTAGTAAAAAATATGGTTTAATTTTTAGCTTTAAACAGTTTTTCGTCTCGAAAACCAGTTAGATGAACATTGTTTAACCTTTTTTCACAATAAAAGTTTTAAAATTTCAATGAATTAAAACCTGGTTAAAAAAATTAAATTGCTAAGTTGGCAGATTAATTAATTTAAAGTTCATGGTATTCGTTTATAAATAATCTTTAGCTAAAAAAAAATAAATAAATTCATTTCTGCAGTTCAGAAAATCGGGTAATTTACGTAGTTAAATTAGCTTACAATTTTAATAAACATCGTTTAAATAAATGTTGTAGGTGTAAAGTTGAGTTCGAAAATATGTGTGTGATCAATTACTTCCACACATATACATGTATTTAACATTGACTAGGACGGTGGCGTCGTCCTGTAAACCAACTACTAAGGGGTCCCGAATTGTGGATATTTCTAGGCATGCACTGTGGTTGCGATGCTCCCTGGTGTGGATTAACGTCCGCACTATTAAGTACTACGACAATCCACAGTACTATCCTGATAACCTAATTATACCAATTCGTTAATTTCAAGGAAAAATGTAGTTCAGATTCCACTATAAACTGTAGCTCCCTTAGTCGACATTGGCTGTGTGGGCTATTAATTAACAGCTGTGTCTAACGAACATGTCGGCCTTAGTCACTAACAAGACCAGAAGATCGCGCCACTTATCCTACACTCATCCTTCACTCATATTTGGGTTAAAATACGCACATAGTGGCGTCCCCATCTTAAATAATTTATATTTATTTATATAATTTATATAACCTAACATTTATCAAAGTTAAAATTTGAAAATGAACTATTTGTGTAGGTATTTAAAGCTTCTAGTTATAAAGATGTCAAGTATTATTTTCAGCAAAGGTTACAACTTTCAAACAATAAAAAAAATCAACAGGCCATGAAAAAAAAATTACAACAATATCTAATATGGCCTAACCTATCAATCGCATATGTTTATTGTGCTATTATACTTGTTCATGCTTAGTCGCTCGTACGTAAATGCCAATGTTGTTACATGCTGGAGATGTCAGCGTCAGTTAGACAAGGTGTATCGTGTCTAAACCAACATTGTAAGCAAAACTCATCCGAAGTGACGTCTAGGGAACGTAATAATGAACCATTTTCACATTCTGGTTTATTAGAAATATCACTTAGGATATTTTGACGTCCTATTGCCAAACGAATACACTACACAAAGTGTTATTGGATATTATATGGGAAATAACCAAAAAGATGGGGTTGTTTGTTAAAATATCCAAAGTATTACAGTTTATAAATCCTAAGTATAGGTAACTTTGACTGTAGGTACACCACCCTTTTTATTCTGTAGCACAGACATTAAATAGTGCACTTTTCTAATCATAATGTATATATAGTTGGGTGTGTTTCATATTCATGTTAGGTGGAAAATATTTTTCTTAATTTTAAATCACTTTACTTTCCTAAAATCGTTTTTTTTTTATTGTAAAAAACAAAAAAGGAATTTTATATCTACATAATTCCCTCTAAATAAAACGGAAGGAAATAATTCTAAAATGGTCTTTATTTGATCCGTATGAAAATAAATGTGTAAAAGAGTATGCTTAGACAGTTTTAGAACAAAACAACTTTATTTAATTGCACGACGATTAGACTTTGCATCTATTAGAGTAATTTTTGACAACAATATAAAAACAAACCAAACATTATTCTATTTAATAACTGTACGAACAGAGGTCAAAGTTCACCTGAAAATAGACAATTTGTCATGGGACTACAATTTGTAGAACAAAATAACTGTATTTAATTGCACGAGGATTAGACTTTGCTTCTATTAGAGTAATTTTGACAACAATATAAAAACAAACCAAACATTTTTCTATTCAAACAAATTTGGGTTTCGTCAATTTAAAAATTAGTTTAAAATATTTCTTGGTTTTAATTCTCTTCAACAACCACAGTAAAATCTCTGGCACGAATATTTAAATGTTAAAAAAGTAAGCAAATATCGTTTGAAATTTATATATGGAACTTAAACTCTTAAATTTTAAAATGTTAAGCGTTTTAGCTGGCAAACCAAAACCGATTATTACCATCGAATTTTAAAAATAAAAATACATTTATTATGAGAAACTTTGGAGACAAAATAAACTTTAAAAAGTTTAGCGTCGTAGTTCTTAGTCGTTTGACAGTTCAAAAGTTAAACTATCCTGTCTCCTTGGATAAACAGAAGGGCTTTCTGCTTGCCTGGGTAGAATTGATGGCAACAATAAAATAAATCACCGGTGCTATTTAAAAGTTGCCAACTTGAAATGACCTGGCAACTTACTTCATGACGTATTTATAAGTTAACTCTTAAAGTTTTCTGGTGCACAGCTCAAGTTTCCAACTTTCATATCATTTGAGCTATAGAGAATAAGCTATTGCAGGAGGTCTTATGGTAAGACCTGGACCCGAACCAGTTTAATTTTCCGTTTTGATGGTCCCAGAGGTAAAATGCACCATCCATTTACATTATTATTTTTTATTTGTATAGTGATTCATTATAACAAAATATTTACATTTGTATCTACTATATATGTGTGTCCGTTAGATCTATCGCCTAACAAAAAGCATCTGATTTTGATGAAATTTTGTACAAACCTATATAGTACTACGTTTTATTCACAACAGTTCGCGAACCAACATAATTGGACTCAAAGAACGGGGTTTTATGTGGTGAAAATCTGTTTTCAACATTTTTGATTACCAAACATAACGTTTCGCAATACACCTGTCTACGCTATTTTGTAGCACCACAATTTTGTGGAAATGTTTTCATGTAAATCCAACCATGTGGCCTAAATGGAAATTCGCTTAATCTATAGGTTTGCTGTGGCGGGGATAGGCGATTATAAAATTACAATGAATTAAAAACATTCTACTGAAATATACAATAAATTAAAGCGAACACTAACTATTTCAACTTGTGTGATGAGACCATTAATTTTTGTCTTAAAATTGTTTATCTGTTATTGTTTAAATAATCATTTAAGAAGTCTTAAACTTAACTGATCATATCCCAAATTTGGGAAAAATAAAGAAAAATTCAGTAGGTAAGATAACACACAAGCAGTCGTCAGAGAAAATTTTATTTCAATCTCTAGATTATTTAAACATTTGTACGTATGCAGTACGCGACACCTACTCTCCAGGTAGGGTATTTTATGACGAGTAATTAATTGATATTACAGCGTTTATATTACAATTATCTGACTCTTTGTACAGAATCATACATCAATAATCCAACAATCAAGGACTACCTTTCTAATAAGTAAATCTTTTTAGGTTATTAATTTATTACTGACTTTTCTTAGGATTGAAACCGGCGACCTTCTGATCGTAAGGAGAACACTTTCCTACGGCAGTTTACAACTAAAGATGATTAAGTAGGCATTGCATTTACCAGGTCAAATCCTAATAGTCTTCCTGTTAAATAGACTCCAATCCCCAGCGGTACAGATGATTAATCTCAAACTTTGGCAACTCCATTTATTACCAACTTCGACTCTTTGCTTAATACACCTCATTGGAGCCGATGGTCGTTATAAAAAATGGTCGTTATTACTGAGTCAACGCTTTCATTCTACACTTCATCTAGACTATAAATTTATTTACGATCCAACTTTAAAATGGTTAATCAAATTATTAATTGCAGCTAACTGCAAAACACAATTTTTAAATCATAAAAAAAGTTGCAACATTTATTTAGAGAGTGTTAAGGTATAGTGGTTTGTCACGTTAAAAATCCAACGTGTTTATTAATGGTGTACCAAGTGACGCAAAAAGGTATTTAACCATCCCCTTTTATTTAAGATTCAAATCCCAATTATCAACAAAGCCAGGTGATAATTCAATGGTCTGGTAGTTTGGAGTGTACTTCAAGC